AAGACTAGAGCCTCTCGCGGCTTCAGTGTGAAAATTTTAATATACAAGTCACACCGGAGTATCAAATCAAAATCAAATCAAACTTTATTTCTATGGCACCTTCCAACGACCGAAGCTGACCAAAGTGCTGTACAACATTAAAACAGGATAAAAAACAATAAACATCATACAACAAAGCAACAAATCACACATTACACCATTAAAATAAAGAAAGTGTCACAGGGCCACTAAGTGTTAAAAGCCTTTCTAAATAAGTACGTTTAAAGATTGGTTTTGAACAGAGACAGGTCATGAATGGACCGTAACTCAATCGGCAGAGAGTTCCAGAGTTTTGGACCGGCCACTGCAAAAGAACGGTCACCCCATAAGTATAAGTATAAGTATATAAGTCGCAGGAAACACCCAAACCATGAAAAAAAGTGTGACTTATAGTTTGAAAAATACGGTATGTTAAATATGAATGTCGGTGAAATAATGTCAAAATATACCTATGACCAATATAAATAAATAAACTTACAAAAAAAAAAACTTACCTAGATGTTGTTTTTTGCAGTGTGCGTACAAAATACAGAGAGTTAAGTGAGTCCGTACTTGCCAGGCTACCTACCTGCCCAACACAATGGAAAATCACACAAAGACATTTTCACATTTTCACTGCATGTTCAGCATTCACCTGGATAAAACCAAAATTACCTTGTTTTCAACCGTACATATATTTTTAGAAACCGCAGCACGGCTAAAGTCCAGGCTAAACATTTGATTTGAATTGTCCTTCATTGTGCGCGCATCAGTCGTCAGCGCGCTCAGTGTTTGTGCTGGTCATAAACACGAGATGAAGTCCGTCTGGCGCTGGACCTCCACAAGTTATTTTCTGCTTGGTTTTTTGGGAGAAAGTTGTAAATAGTTGGTGATTTGTGGTGTCCATCACTCCTCTGCTCCGGGTAAACACAGCTACATTTAAGAGGCTGTTCTGCGCGCGGGGAGAGATACGATTTAAAGACGCTGAACCTGATTTTTACCGTCTTAAAAATGTGGAAAACAGAAGGAGTTGATTTAAAACAGTTTGCAGTGATCCAAAGTTATACTCACTTACCTTATGTGCTCACAGCAATCTGAATATTCACTGTAATGAACTTATAAGTGCTTTTTAACAACTGGCATACTAACATACACTTCCTGATTATCAGACAATAAAACACACACATACCGTATTTTTGAGAGTATAAGTCGCACCAGACAAAAAAATGCATAATGAAGAAGATAAAAACATATAAGTCGCACTTTTAGGGGGAAATTTAGTTTATAAAATCAGAGACCAGGAACCGACATTTCATCTTAAAGGCAAGTTATAGTAAAAAGAAAATTAAATAGAGAACAATAGGCTGAATAGGCATCTGGTATGAACAGTTCTTCAAACCATAAACAACAGAACAGAACAAGTTTACCAAACTCTCCGTCTCACTCCAAATCACTAAATCCATTCAATTCTTCATCTTTGGTGTCACTTCACGACCTCCAGAGGTAAACAGAGCGCCGATTCCTCTTCTGTGTAGCTGTCGTCAGACTCAGCATCAGTTCCAGTTAGAATTATTCGGGCCTTTCTGAATCCCGACAGGATGGTTTCAGTGTCACTGAAGTTCAGGCTTTGTCGATCCATCTAGTGACTTCCAGGAAAGTTTCATGGTGCATCCTCCCGGTTACCGTGAAGCTGTGTTCTCCATCCCCACTTTCCGTCAGTCCCTCACAAGTTTCTACTGCTCGATTACCGTTTTCGGCTGAATATTTCTCTACTTACAGCAGGACAGAGGCTCTTTCTGCAGGAGACATGTGCAGTAGAAGTGACAGGAGCAGCAGATACTGACACACAAGACTAGAGCGCCCTCTTGTGGCTGTCAGTGTGAAATTTTAATACACAGTATAAGTCACACTGGAGTTTAAGTCACAGGAAACACCCAAACCATGAAAAAAAGTGTGACTTATAGTCAGTAATAAAGTAGTACAGTAATTTGATGCAAACAGCAGCACCAGCAGCAGACTTATTTTGACCTTTGACCTCAAAAGCTACTCATACAGTACAAAACATCTGTACTGTGGCAAGACAAAGTTTGCTCAAACACATGGAAAAAAAAATAAAAAATAAAATCAGGTTCAAGGCTTTTAGCAGTATGTCATTTTTCTGACACCTGCTCGTCTCCATGGAGATGTTATTGCTTCACCTAGAACAGTACACAGCAAAAAGTGGACTCTCACAGAACCAATTTTAACATTTTCTCGGGGTTTATATGAGTCCAATCTGTTCTAGAGTTAATGTAACATTTTTTGGAAAATGTTCATTAAGTAACACTGGACCAAAGTTCGTGTTTAACCCCAAATTCAAGAGTTATATTAAAGTTTTGAGAGTAAACGGAAAACACTTTGTAGAGTTATACTGATTTAGCTAAACAACAACAAAGAGGTGTTTTATTTTTTACACTTTATTTTAGTTAATTTAAGATGAAATTATGTACAAAACTGGTTCAAACTGGTCTTATGTCATGGGAGTTTGAAGTGCTGCCTGGGAGGTGCCAAATTAACACTAAAGGAAGTTGAATTAACACTAGGGGAAGTTGAATTAGTGGAAGTTTAATTAAGTTTAATTAGTAGAAGTTTAATTAACAACAACAATTTAACAACCACATCAACTCTGGCAAATAACTCCACCCTCATTTAACTTTCAAATAGTTAAAATAACACTTTTTATGTGTTAAAAACAACTCTTTATAACCCTCCAGTTTTTGCCGTGTATGACATTAAACGTATCTGTATCGCCGTAGAGACAAGCAGATCTGTGGAAAGGCGAGACCACTCACCATAATGTTTTTCATTGTATGTTTGAACAATAAAAACACTTAACTGTGGAACATACAGGCAAACAATAACATCACCCCGTACCAGAAAAGTTACATAGTGCATCTTTAAATGATTTGTTTGTGTGTGTGAGAGTTAAAGTGTAGAGTTTGGTTCAAAACATCTGCTGGAGTCTGACAGCTGAACTGAGCTCGACCTTCAGCACTTATGATACTTCCTGGTCAGTGGTGGAATTTACAAGAGTGGACGGTCATTACGGGGAAAGTGAAAATTATTTATAAATGGAATTTGGTTTAGTTGAATGGGTTTTTTTTCGTGTAATAAAAGCTGTTTTTGTTCTTGTCCAGTACAGATATACAGTATCGGTCAAAAGTTTCAGAGCGCCACACTTTATCCAGTTTTTATTGTTTACTGTTGACCAAAACGTATTATAAACTTTTGATTCATGAAAGTGTCCACCTTTGGCAGATATAACAGCTGAACACACTCGTGGCTCGTTCTTTTTACAATAGAAATGAAATGTTCTTCAGAAAGTTCTTCCCAAATCTGTTGCAGAAGTTCCCATAAATGTGTGGCACTTGTAGTTTGTTTGTCTTTCACTCTTCTGTCCAGTTCATCCCAAACCAACTCGATGGGGTTTAAGTCTGGACACTGTGCTGGACACTTCATGTTTTCAAGTTTTACCATCTTGTTCTTTTTTCCTGAGGTAGTTTTGGCAGAGCTTGGACTTGTGTGCTAAGTGCAGCTGTCACACAATCGCAGTTTGCGGACAATCTACTCCACGAGCTTGGAGTTTTCTCTCTCGCTCTCAAGTCCAAGATTAGTCTTGGTTCAGTCCCGGTTCAGTCCTGGTTCAGTTCTTATTTAGACCTGGCTTAATCCCAGTTGAAACCTGGTTTAGTCCTGGTGTAGTCTTAGTTCAGTTCTGGTTGAGTCCTCATTTAGACCTGGTTTAGTCCTGGTTTAGTCCTGGTTCACTTCTGATTTAGCCCTGGTTTAGTCCTGATTCAGTCCTGGTTCAGTTCTGATTTAGACCTGGTTTAATCCCAGCTGAATCCTGGTTTAGTCCTGGTTTAGTTCTGGTTCAGTTCTGGTTGAATCCTTATTTAGTCCTGGTTTAGTTCTGGTTTAATCCTGGTTCAGTTCAAGATTAGTCCTGGTTCAGTCCTGGTTCAGTCCTGGTTTAGACCTGGTGTAATTCTGGTTTAGTCCTGGTTCAGTTCTATTTTAGTCCTGGTTGAGTCCTCATTTAGACCTGGTTTAGTCCTGGTTCAGTTCTATTTTAGTCCTGGTTCAGTTCTACTTTAGTCTTGGTTGAGTCCTCATTTAGACCTGGTTTAGTCCTGGGTTAGTCCTGGTTCAATCCTGATTCAGTTCTGGTTTTGTCCTGTTTTAGTCCTAATTTAGTCCTGGTGTAGTCCTGGTTCAATCCTGGTTCAGTTCTATTTTAGTCCTGGTTGAGTCCTCATTTAGACCTGGTTTAGTCCTGCTTTAGACCTGGTGTAATTCTGGTTTAGTCCTAGTTCAGTTCTATTTTCGTCCTGGTTTAATCCTGGTCCAGTTCTATTTTAGTCTTGGTTGAGTCCTCATTTAGACCTGGTTTAGTCCTGGTTTAGTCCTGGTTCAGTCCTGGTTCAGTTCTGGTTTTGTCCTGTTTTAGTCCTGGTTTAGTCCTGGTTTATGTGGTATGTTCAGTAGGTGATTATAAAAGGCATTAATGTTAATAACATGATTCTGCATCATTTTGAGTAAAAAAAAACAAAACAAAAAAAACATCAAATATTACTGATTTTTACTCTGCACTGACAGTATGACAATAAACATCTCTAACTTACCGTTTATTCAATTACGGTGGGTTTAAAGCTCAAAAATATAAAATACTAACACAAACTGGCGCTGACTTTGAGTAGATCTGGTTTAATGCCACACTGCGAAACATTCCAAACAAACCAATAACACCTCCATGGAGAAAAGCATTTGACGAACCCTCAGCTAGAAAAAGTTACGCAATGCACCTTTAACTTCTCCCTTGCACAGATCCAAACGTACTGGGGGTCAGCGGTCGGCATTACTCCGCAGTGAGAAGAAACAGCCTGTTGTGAATAAATGACCGTCTTTGGGCTCCGTGTCAGAGTTCCAGAGAGGGGCCGGACCCGAAGACACTGCCCCAGAAAACAGCGCTCTCGGCGGGGCAGTTCATCTTCGGGGACTGCCTCTCCTCCAAACATCCATCCGTCCGCTCCAGACGCGAGCTCTCACGCAGCAGCAGAGGGGAGGACACGGCGAGGTTTATGGAAGTCATCAAGAAGTCATCTGTCAGGGCTTTACACGACTCGAGATAATACACAGGAGATACGAGGAGAGCGATGAAGAATTTGGGAAAATGTGAAAATAATCTGTATTTAATTGTGGTTTTTGTGACGAGTTTTGCGATTACGTTTGCAATTTATGTTTTAATAATAATAATAATAATACGAGTCTGTTCAGTGTTCGTATTTTAACAAAGAAAGTAAAAGTAATGAAGGACTCTACTTAAAGGCACACTGTGTAACTTTTCGTTTGGGGGTCTGATACTTTCTTGTTTCCATGGAGATGTCATTGCTCTGCTTAAAATGTCCCACAGTATGATTTTAAACAGCTCTACGTTATATTTATTCAATTAAAGGTGGTTTTATAGCTCAAAAATACCTAAAAAAAAACTAGGACTTTGACTGACTCTCCACAGATCTGACCCGTAACTTGGTCTGGTTTGGTCTCCATGATGATAGAAAGGTTTAAAGCCATACTGTGAAACATTGCATGTCCATGGAGAAAAGCGTTTGATGGACCCTCCACCAGAAAAGTTGCACAGTGCACCTTTAAGTATAAGTTTAGGTGTCTGTGCTTTAATTAAAGGTGCATTGTGTAACTTTTCTGGTGGAGGGTCTACCCCGTGCTTGTCTCCATGGCGATATTACGATTTTGCCTTGATTAGGTGTAGTCCTGGTTTAGACCTGGTTTAGACCTGGTTTAGTCCTGGTTTTAGTTCCTGATTCAGTCCTGATTCAGTCCTGGTTTAGACCTGGTTTAGTTCTGGTTCAGTCCTGGTTCAATTCTGGTTCAGTCCTGGTTTAGTCCTGGTTTAGTCCTGGTTCAGTCCTGGTTTAGTCCTGGTTCAGTTCTGGTTTAGTCCTGGTTTAGTCCTGGTTTGGTCGTGGTCCAGTCCTGGTTTAGTCCTGCTTTAAACCTGGTTCAGTCCTGGTTTAGATTTGGTTTAGTCCTGGTTCAGTCCTGGTTTAGATTTGGTTTAGTCCTGGTTCAGTCCTGGTTTAGTCCTTTTTTAGTCCTGGTACGGTCCTATTTTAGTTCCTAGTTTAGTCCTGGTTTGGTCCTGTTCACTCCTGGTTTGGACCTGGTTTAGACCTGGTTCAGTTCTGGTTCTGTTCTGGTTTAGTCCTGATTTAGCCCTGATTTAGTCCCAGTTAAAACCTGGTTTAGTCCCGTTTGAAACCTGGTTTAGTCCTGGTGTAGTCTTGGTTCAGTCCTAGTTCAGTCCTGGTTCAGTGCTGTTTTACTTCTGTTTTAGTCCCGGATTAGTCCTGGTTCTGTCCTGGTTTAGACCTGATTTAGCCCTGGTTTAGTCCTAGTATCTTTACTTATACTTAAATACTTTTCGCTGCATTTTAAACACGTCCAGAAGAATTAACAAAAAAGAAATCTGAAGTCTGCAGTGACAAACGAAAACAAGAATCACATCTCTGAGTGTGTTTGTGCAGATCTAAACTCCAGGATGAGCAGTTTTTAATGCAGAATAAAACAGGATATTTTGTTGTTTACGGAGGAAATGGAGGCGACTTCTAAAACTGCAGCGTTTGCCATTTGAGCCAATTAAAATTTCAATTCTGATACGATTTTGATGAATCTTGCAGCTGCTTTTACGGAGACTAAACCATTTTATGTAAATATTAGGTACGTTTATTTGTATAGAAGAATTCATAGACAAAGTGACTCTGAACCAGGACTAAACCAGGACTAAACCAGGGCTAAATCAGGACTAAATCAGGACTGAACCAGGACTGAACCGGGACTGAACCAGAACTGAACCAGGACTAAACCAGGACCAAACCAGGACTGAACCAGGACTGAACCAGGACTAAATCAGGACTGAAACAGGACTGAAACAGGACTAAACCAGGACTAAATCCAGGACTAAACCAGGACTGAACCAGGACTGAACCAGGACTAAACCAGGACTGAACCAGGACTGAACCAGGAATCAGGACTAAACCAGGACTAACCAAAACTGAACCAGGACTAAACCAGGACTGAACCAGGACTAAATCAGGACTAAACCAGGACTGAACCAGGACTGAACCAGGACTAAATCAGGACTAAACCAGGATTAAATCAGGACTAAACCACAACTAAACCAGGACTAAACCAGGACTAAACAGGACTAAATCAGGACTAAACCCAGGACTAAACAGGACTAAACCAGGACTCAACCAGGACTAAACCAGGTCTAAACCAGGACTTAATGGGCATACAGTGTTTTACAGAATAAGAAACACGTTAAAATCACAACACAAATACAAACACAAATAAATAAAATCAGCATTAAAAGAGAAAAGAGCGAAATATAAAACTTTTCCGTCACATGCAGCTGAACAGAAGCGTTTTGAGTCTGGATTTAAGCAGAGTCAGAGCGGAGGCCTGGCCCACATCTGCACGAAAACTGCTCCAGGATTCAGCTGCACAAAACTGAAACACTGAACAAATAAATAAACAAATAAATAAATAAATAAAATCAATCTGAAACACTGACTCTACATGTTTAGTCCTGAATCTGGGCACCAGCAGAAGGCCAGGACTAAATCAGGACTGAACCAGGATTGAACCGGGATTGAACCAGGACTAAAACAGGACTAAACCAGGACTAAACCAGGACTGAACCAGGAATAAACCAGGACTAAATCAGGACTGAACCAGGATTGAACCGGGATTGAACCAGGAATGAACCAGGACTAAATCAGGACTAAACCAGGACTAAACCAGGACTGAACCAGGACTAAACCAGGATTAAACCAGGACTGAACCAGGGCCAAACCAGGACTGAACCAGGACTAAACCAGGACTAAACCAGGATTAAACCAGGACTGAACCAGGACTAAATTAGGAAATCACAATGGAGACAGGTTAATGGTCAGATCTATGGAGAAGCAAGCCTGCACGTGGTAAGAATTCACATTTTGTAAAGTATTTTTGAGCTATAAAACACCAATAACTGAACACATGCGAGGAATATACCGTATGTTTAATGCCCTACTGGGGAACATTCCAGGCAGACATAGAAATAACAGCTCCATAAAGACAAGCAAGTAGCAGAAGCTTCACCATAGAAGTTACATAAAGCACTTTTAAGAACATTTTTAAGTGGATATTTTTTTAACTTTACTTCACTACATTTTTTACAGCTTTACTTAAAGGTGCATTGTGTAACTTTTCTGGTGGACGGTTCATCACCTGCTTGTCTCCATGGTGATATTACTGTTTTTGCCTTGATTAGGTGTAGTCCAGGTTCAGTTCTGGTTCAGTTCTGGTTCAGTTCTGGTTTAAACCTGGTTTAATCCCAGTTAAAACCTGGCTCAGTTCTGGTTTAGTCCTGATTTAGTCCCGGTTTTAGTCCTGGTGTAGTCCTGGTGTAATCTTGGTTTAGTCCTGATTTAGTCCCAGTTGAAACCTGGTTCAGTCCTGGTGAAGTCTTGGTTTAGTCCTGGTTTAGTCCTGGTTTAGTCCCAGTTGAAACCTGGTTCAGTCCTAGTTCAGTCCTGGTTCAAGTTCTGGTTTAGTCCTAGTATCTTTACTTATACCTAAAGACTTTTTCACTGCTGCATTTTAAACACATCCAAAAGAAATGACAAAAAGAAATCTGAAATCTGCACTGACAAACGAAAACAAGAATCACATTTCAGAGCCTGTTTGTGCAGATCTGAACTACAGGGAAGTTACATAATGCACTTTTAAGTACATTTTAAAGTGGATATTGTTTACTTTTACTTCACTACATTTTTTTTAACTGGACTGAAAAGTAAAATTATTTTTTTATTTTTTACTCTGAGCCACAGGAGCCAGTACAGAATCCTAAACACAGACTCGGACTTCCCGGTTTGAGTCGGGACCCGAGCAGCAGCAGCAGCAGCGTTGTTCTGTTGTTCTGGATGTAGAGCAGCTGTCTGACAGTGAGCAGCTGTTACAGTAGGAATGTATATTCTCAATGTAAATAAACTGTAAACACTGTAAACACACTGTAAATGCACAGAAAGAGTGAGTTTCTATAGACGCAAGGGCAGTTTAGTCGAAATACGAAGTGAGTATCCAAAAGGTAATGACTCTCTTGACCTTAAACCTACATCGAGATCTGGTTCAAATGCACAGGACAGACGTGAGGACAGTTAAGTTTACCTTTATCCTAGAATTTGAGTTTAGTTTCAATGGTCTGTTTATATTCTGCGATGTCTTTACCTGTAGCGACGCTTTGCAGTCACACCACACTCGGGGGATTCCACATGTATGTTTGTGTTTTAAAAACTGAAAATAAAGACAAAACCACAACATTTCCAGAAACCAGTGGTCAGTATGAGTGTTCACGTCCTGTTTAGGTGTTTGATTTTCAACAGAAAGGCGAGAGTGACGGTAATGTTCCACGAATCATTTCACTTAGTGTCGCTCCAACTCAGTCAGTTCTTTCTGGTCAGATTGTGTAGAAACAAAGCTCAGATTAAACTCTAACTTCAGTTACAGAACAGAACGTAGTACCGGCCTCAAGACCACTTATTTACGGTCTTGGTCTTGTCTCGGATTTGAGTGTATTTGGACTCAGTCTTGATGGCGCTTGGTCTCGATCTTGTCTCGGACTCGAGGTCTGACACTCGATGAGTCGATCATATTTCATTACGGCCGGTAAATGTGCAGAGGCTAAATATCACTGTAAAACCTGTAACATAATGTAACTGTAAATGTTATGAACTTGAAAAAACTCACTTGATTCACTTTTAAGTTGTTTTCTATAAAGTTTTAGTGGAAGTTCTCTTAAGGTGTTTTCAGGCCGACAGAGAACTGTGCAGGTTCCTGCACCTAATCTTGAACTGACTCACGTGTCCATGCTGGAAATCAGAGCGTTCAGGAACCGAAAAGTTGGTTCCTAATGGGAACCAAGTAAAACTTGTTTTTTCTAAGCGAACTGTGACAACACAGAAGACGTCAGCATGTTCATCCCGGTCACATGTGGTAAAATAAAGAAACAAAGAGCAATTGAAACTATCA